ATGTCGCTCCCCCCCTCCCCCCCCGCCGATTAATGTTCTAGGAATCTTAAAATGTGTTCCCCGAGAGGGGTGGGGTGCCTGTTAAGCTTTGTTGATTGTGTGTGTTTTTTTTAATATGGGTGTGGTTGTCCAGTTGCATAATGTTTCTTATTAACTGTTTCTTAGTGTAAGCCACATGGAACTATTCTGCAATCAGCCAGCTTCTAAATATAATAAATAATAATACGGTAGTGATAACAACAATAGCTGCTTCCTTTTTTCATGTTTAGTTTAAGAGTTCCAAAGAATGCAGAAATAGACTGCATTTCCCTCTGCAAGTCCTTCTATGTGTGTGTGTGTGTGTGTGTGTGTGATTGTGTTTGTGGGTTTACGTAAAAGATAAGCAAAAGTGCATCTGAACGAGGCAGAGAACCACCACCACCCCACTCCTAATGATTATTGTGATTTTAAAGGCATGGAATACAGGTAATCTTCAACTTACAACCTTAGTGGCTTTTCAAAATTACAGTGGCACTGAAAAAAAGTGCCACTGTGATTCTCTTACACTGTTTTTCACATGTATAACTGTTGCAGCATCCCCAGGATTCATAAGATCAATATTTGGACCTTTGGCAGCTGGCATATGTTTGTGACGCTGGCTTCATGTCCCAGGGCTGTGTGATTTCCTTTTGCGACCTTCTGACGAGCAAAGTCAATGGAGAAACCAGATTCACATAACAACCGTGTTACTAATTTAACAGCTGCAAGGATTCGCTTAACAACTGTGGCTAGAAAAATTGCAAAATGGGGCAACAGTCCCTGAACAACTGTCTCACTTGGACCCAATTGTGGTCGTAAATAGAGGACCAACTGTATTGCTTGCATGAATTGTAAAGGGAGAAATGAAATTGCACCTGTGATTTCCATCCTCAGAAAGACAGTTCCTTGCCGGAGGCAACAGCTAAGTCTGTGAGCTCCTAAAACCCTCAAAAATTCAGTTCGAAAACTTACCACTTGCTCAGCTCTGGCATAAAATAAAAGCCATTTATGAACAGTTCTGCCCTCCCTTTGCTTTTTTTTGTAGCAGTCAAGATCTTTTTTCTAGGAAGATGAAAAGGTGACAAATTTAAATGCCTGATTTAAGCACTGCATTTCCTTTTGATTCATTTCTTTCCAGGTGCACGGGGTGCACATGTTCTTTTCATTTTGCAATGCCAATTTTCTTTTGGGTCATTACTTTGGCATGCTGCACATGGCACAGGGTAATTGTGGGGTGTGTACAATAGATTTGGACAAAGCCTAATTTCAGTTTCTTCCTGTTTGGATAAGCCTATCACATGAAGTACCTCCAAAAGGCGTTGGCCACCAGTTGTGCCCCACTGTGTATTCTGGGGGTAGACGTGGGCAGGGTTACTGTGTAGATGTGCCTTTTTCTGCACATGAAAAGGGTGCGTCTCTTTACACCATAGGCTCATTCCACATTCCTTTGGTGGCACACTATGTTGTCAGCTGCGTTCCATTTCTGATTTCCCAGAAGCATGAGAGCAGGGAGATAATCAAAAAATCCTACTTTTTCAGGATCTGGTTGAACTTGAAAAGGTAAGCAGGATAGGAAGGGCTTAATCCTTGGATGGAAGACCATCATGAAATCGGAAGAGGAGAAGATCAAGAAAACAGTCCAGTTGAAATAACTGCAAAGCACTTTCATTCTGCTACCAAAAAAAATATTACAGTAAATACACAATATTTCTCAAGCATGGCATGGACTCCTAGAATTCCCCAGCCAGCTCTTAAAAAGTTGAGAAACACTGATCTTAAAAAATCAGGAGAAATTTGGCCCAAAGATTTTATTTACCCACAAAAAAACCCCCAAATGAGCTTCTCCTTTACCTCTCTGGTCTAAATTGGTCAGTGCCACTTCTCCTGATTTGAGATTTGGGGTCCAACTGACGTTTCCAATATTAGGGGCTCCCATGGACCACCTGGAATTTGGGCTTAGCAAAATGGTGATGGTGACAAACAAGGTAAGCTTTTTTGACTGGGACATTCAAGCATTCATTCACTGGAAAGTGTGTGTGTGTGTGTGTGTGTGTGTGTGTGTGTGTGTGTGTTGGAAAAATACATGAACTTTGCCTATCAAGCCAGTTCACCCAGTGGAAATTTTTGAAAGCATAAATACTGTGTTTCTGTGCATATGTTTTGTGTGTGTGTGTGTTTATGAATATAGATATATTAAATAAAAGAAAAGGATTTTGCACACAATTAAAAGGCTACAAAAGCATAAAAAGAAAAATGGGGGGGGGGAGAGAAAGATATGAAAAAGTGACATTAAAAAAAACAAAGACAAGAAAAAGCTAAG